AGACGCATGGTAGGTCCCCTGAAATTAAAAGTAACACACATGATAAATTTGTTTTTGTTAAAACACCTGATGCGACGCCTGACAATATTTCATCCATTGCATATGCAATGGTCATTGAAAAAATACACATTAATTAAAACTCGCATCCCAATTATTTATCAGAATGCCTTAAATATCACTTAATTAACAAATTTTCGCAGCAGTTTTCTCTACAATTACTTTTCCCAGATGCTTATAAGCGCCCATTCCAATTTTACTGCAGTATAGTCAAATAAGGGTTTTGTAGTCGAGTTTGAAAAAATGGTACTGAAAGAAGTACAATCTACCCCTCCATGAAATATACTGTATACGTTTTTTTAGTTTGTACAAGTTTCATTTTTTTCTTCCATTTTCTTTCTTGGCTTGTTAGGTTTTATTTCAGGTAAGAATATTTTTGTTCTCTCTACATAGACGAATATTGTTTTCCCCCTCGCAAAAGGAGTTAACGTAACTGTGTGTACACTGTACGAGGTGATGCTCTTTGCGGTGCCCTTTTTATATAGCTCACCTGACCCGAAGGCTCAAGTGAGCTTTTCTGATCAAAATTTGTGTGTTGTCTGTCGTTGTCGTCGTTGGCGTTGTTGTAAACTTTTCACATTTTCATCTTCTTCTGTAAAACCGCTGGACCAATTTCAACCAAACTTGCTACAAATTATCCTTGGGTAAAGGGGATTCAAGTTTGTTCAAATGAAGGGCCACGCCCACTTCCAAAGGGAGATAATTATGAGTTAGTGAAAAATTAATGGCATTTTTAAAAGAAATCTTCTTCTCAAGAACCACTGGGCCATTAAAGATGAAACTCATGTGGGATCATCCTCAGGTAGTGTAGATTCAAGTTTGTTCAAATCATGACCCCCGGTGGTAGGGCGGGGCCACAATGGCCGATGAAAGTTTTACATAGAAATATATAGGAAATTGTTTAAAAAGTCTTTTTCACAAGAATAGAAAAGACATGAAAGATCACATTTATATGGAAGCATTCTCAGGAAGTGTAGATTCAATTTTGTTCAAGTCCTGACTCCTGGGGGTAGAACATGGCCACAGTGTAAGTTCAAATGTATATATAGAAATATATAGGAAAATTCTTTAAAAATTTCTTCTCAAGAATAGCAAAGGCATAAATGATCATATTTTTATGGAAGCATCCTCAGGTAGTGGAGATTCAGATTTGTTCAAATCATGACCCCAGGGGATAAGGCGGGGCCACAATGGCCGATCAAAGTTTTACATAGAAATAAATAGAAAAATTCTTTAAAAATCTTCTTCTCAAGAATAGCAAAGCCATGATTAGTCCTATTCATATTCTCAGGTTGTGTAGATTCAATTTTGTTCAAGTCATGACTCCTGGGGGTAGGACATGGCCACAGTGTAAGTTCAAATGTAAATGTCAATAAAGCCACAGGTATAGTCAAAGAAATATGCAAACATCCTTAGTTAGTGGAGATTCAAGCTTGTTCATATCATACCCTCTCCATGTTAAGGATAGGTTGGGACCACTACTGGGTTTAAACTTTTCAATAATAAACTGATTTCTGCTTTTTTCTTAGCAATATTGCTCAGGTGAGCGACGTGGCCCACGGGCCTCTTGTTTTATCTAGAATCTGAATACGATTGATGGACACAATTGATATACAACTTGTAAAGTGATAAGCATGTAATTTTAACAATTCTATACTTAAAATTAATTGTTTTGTCATCAAGCGTGTAGAAAAAAAAGTGCGGAGAACCAAGTGGGACAGACAGACAGCTAACAGACGCTGTAGAAACGTAACAGCACAAGACTCTTCGAGGAAATGTATAGAAGATTTTGCTTTCTCATGCACAAGACTTTATTTAAGAATTAGAAAATTCAGCTTTGAAAAAACTTCTGTTTTTCCGTCGTATCTGATTTATATATTTGCATCATCTCTTAGGAAATGCCCAATTCGAACGGAGGTGGTATAAATATGTTTATCTCACATAAAAAAATATTCAGATATCCCTGAGAAACTAATTTCATTACATTCATTCTTTAATCATTTATATCAAAATTGTTTCAATTTTATTTATTTATCAATTTAAATCCATAGTTTTTATTTATATTTTGAACATTTACATACCTGCAGTCCTAGAATTTAGAGTCCGAAGAACCGTCTAGATATAATTGCTTAAAATGCTCAATGAAACAACTTTATATAAACCCTCTCGTTGCATTTTTATTTAGTAATACTTACCTCTATATAGCGAGAAATTAATTATCGCCCACAGTGAGGTATTTTAGTGAACGTGACGCAAAGCTGTTCACGGTGAAGAAATTTTCGACTTCCAACACCAACCTGATCTGAGCAGTTTTTCAGAAAATTAAGTGATTCACACATTTTACCCGATCTTATACAATTTAACGATTTTAATATTCAGTCTTGTTTGCATTGCCACCCAAATCACGAATAAGACTGAAATACAAGACCAATGTCCATATCCTGAAATAGAGTGGCGCACAAAACTATCTTTCATAGACTGAAATAGACCAATATCCATAAAGTGGAATTGACATACAATTGACAAGTTTCCACATTTCCACAAAGAATGTCAATTAGAAAGCGCATTTTAAAGTCAAATCATAACTTAGCCAACCTCATTTACAGAAGTTTAACTGAATGCGAGTTAGTTTATCTGAATTTGAAAAGTACATGTACTGCTTAAGGTTAATTCATAAACCCTCTGCTCACTCATATAAAATGTTGCTTGAACCTTAATGATTTTCCTAAAGAAATGTATTTTATAAAGAAAATACAACTAATTATAACATAGCTTGCGGGGCAAAATTGGAAAAAAAAAAGACATTTCAACTTGGCAAATCTATAACGCATATTACGGAATACCTAATATTTGCACATGCAGGTACTGAAAATCTGCAATTCTTCAGTATGCTAAATTTTCGGAAAACCGGCCCATCCCTCTAGTCAGGCCATTTTATTCAGTCCGGCAGCTGTCCGGTTTGGAGAAGTTTTACTGTAATAGACATTTATGTCATTAAAAGTTGTCTTTCTTATCAGAGTATCAATTAACCTTAAAATAAGTTTGTTTATCTGAACAAGTAACTATAGGAACATGCCTGTTCATTGAGATATTAAAAACATCAAAGATCGAAAGCAAATCATTCATTTAATCATTTTTGGTCAAAACGAGAAAATTGAATACCGGTAATCTATACTTTAATTCCTGGTTCAAGGAATAAAGGTCATAGTAAAAAATGCACGTGTACGAATTTTAAACCATTTATTTTTTGTACATTGTACACTACAAAAATGCATCAATTGTGATAGGACAACAGGTATCATCAACCTATTTGAGTCCCCTTCAAACACAGCTGAAAAGCACCTGCTTCAGGGAAGAAGTCTAATCATTTCTGAATTGAAAGGTAAATCTAAAAAATTAAGGTAAACAAATACTGGGTATATATGTAAAGTAATTGTATTTTTTTTTAAATGACGAATACGCAATTTACAGGAGATAAACAATAAAAATTTTTGACATGTCCTTACTCATGCTTACCTCGGAGACAGTTTGTGAAAGGACGATATAAAGTTTATGAACATTTATCTGAAAACGTGATAAATTTGGAGACAATTGCAAGTAAGGGGCTTAAATCTCAATCTCGTGTTGTCAAAGACATTCAATGTTTGTAAATGTAAATACCGGTATTTGAAGTTGATGCCGCACACGAGGACATCAATTAATCTTTTGTTCCCTTTTCTTAATATGATTTAAACAAAAAGACAACACGTATCTTTTCTTTATTATGTACAGAGAGCATTGTAGGACAGACATTTTAGAAGTTTTATAAAACCACAGTCTACGAATTTTCAATCTACGTAAAATCTCTGGTAACATGTTAAACATCTGCAGAACTGTAGCTCTCCGAAAAAAATATATTGACAGACGGTCCGTCAATATTTTTGTTTTCGAGAGCTACAGGTCTGCAGCTATTTATATCAGTGAAGCCAGAAACAAAATCTAAATATTATATAAATTTTCACTTTTAAAATAGCAAGAGTAACAGATAATTATTGTAGTCGTAATTTTCAAAAGTGTCTTGGAGATTGAGTTTGCTCCAAAAGGCGTTATCAAACGTCTTAGCGCCACAAGGTTATGTAATAAAATTGTGGCTTGTTAAGTTTAGAGACGGAGAAAAAGATACAAAAGTGACATATATAACACACTATGACACTAGTGAAGAAGTTATTTTAAATAGAGTAGGAGATTCTACGACTTTTTTTACCTTCCTGCCGGAAATAGTAACGGCTATAATACAGTTAAGTGGAACTTGTGTGTTAAACTCGTTAAATTCAGAAGTTGGGGAAGGTTTTAGGTCAAGTTCGACTAACTTTATGTACTGTATTTTCTGCGTTTTACTAGGAAAATGAAAAGAAATCTATACCTTAAGGTTGGCTGAAATTAATTCTCCGTTTATCGTCACCTATAAACTTCAAAACCTACGAGGGTGGGAGGAAAAAATTAAGCAAACAAAATTTTTCACACATATGAGTCTTTACCCATTTACATGCATTAAAATACTACAAATATTTGTAATCTTATACAGGCTTTTATTTAAATAATCATTTTCAGTTAAACTGTATCTATCTTTAAAAGATACATGTGCTTCGATTGATCAGCCTCATCTCATAAATATTGTCTATTTGTATGGAATGTAGTTTTATAGGCTAGCTGCTTAAAGTAGGAGCAATTAAACCAGAACAGAAACATTATAAAAACTGGATTTGTCTGTTCGAACTGCTCATTTAACCGAAACCTTCGCCCACAGAATCAACTTTGGACAGGCAAACGAAGAGGAACTAAATTGTTTTCCATGTCTAATTGGACAACCCTCGTATATCTAACTTTATAAGAGGTTATTAATACCATATTTATGACACGTATAATAACAAAAATCAGTTTTGCAAATAGACACACTTCATATCGTTTGGTTCGATGGTAAAAAAAATGATTCTTAAAGTTCATATATTTACTTTCATTATCTAAGCCGAAGCATTTTAGAGGTATATATCGCATACATGCAGGACGAAAAATATGTAACGGCGAGTGCAGTTGTAAATTGGAAGAGAAGCTTTCAAAAAAATAAATGTCGACATAACTTGAAGGTTCTCACAGGTTAAAAAAAATCAGATTTAATGAACCATTGTAAGTACATTAGAATGTGTACCTTTCTTTGAAATAAAGACAGAAAACAAACATTCTGATACTTATAGCATTGTATAAGCAATACTGATAAAAACATGTAGGCAGAGCAAAAGCCTTAAGAAATCTGTAGCCCCCTTCAGTTTAACTGGTAGGGAACTTAACAAGAATATCTGCATGGCATGCGCAGACAATTATAAATACGTAGTATTTAAAGGAAAACAGAGCATAAGTTAACATTAAAGTAACTACATTTTGTACATTTGCTCACATATAAAGGGAAGCTTAAGACCCTCCGGTCCTGTGAAATAAGAATAGTCTTTCTCGGGATGCCATTTCCATTCAACTTCTTTAAAAACCAACGATAAACCAAATACACCATCAGGAAGTCCCTGGGTGGATCCAGGAACCCAGCGGGTGTAGTTCATAGGAGTGCCATCTTCATAGAACATTTTGTCCGATTGTTTACTTAGGACATTCACTCTTATCTTGACATTGTCTCCCATGTCCTTCTCTGAAAAAAGAGTTTTTACACATTTCAATAATAGTTTGATTTTTTAAAAAATGTTTTATCAATTTTATTTATCATTTATTTATTTATCAAGTACAATGGACACATGTGAGGTAAAACATGGGAAAATACGGGAAAGGAGGCTAGCGCAAGAGAAACATGCCAATTCAGAGAATTACTTTGGGTTCTTTTTAGTCAAGGTGCAATGACTTCTGGCATATTGTAGCTATCTTTTCTGTCCATCATGCTAAAAAAAATTATTTATATCATTGTGCAAAATAGTGTTTGAAGTTAAACTTCGTGGTCTAGATTGTGAGGTTAAAAAAATCATGGAACATTTGGAAATGCCTTGACACAGGTAAAGCTCACGTGAAGTACGAAAGCCAGTCTCTTACGGTGCAAAAATTGAGATGGTCACCCATCCCCTTTTTTCAGACCTGCGAGTATCAGATCAGTCTTGCCCCATGATCCCTTGCACTTCGTTATTGGAAGTGCAAGGGATCATGGGACAAGACTAGATTCAGATCTGCAACTGTTATAATTATAAATACAGTACATTGATTGCCAACAGTACCTGGGTGAATTCTTTTCAAATTCAGATAATCTCCATATGAATCTCCGTACCACAAAAATAACTCGGTACGTGGAGTTATGTCCCTTGTTGTCATGTAGAACACCAGTCCCTCGCACGGGAAGCCGTGTACGTTTTCCTGTGTTGTGTGTGCAGCACAGTTGACATAACGGAGCCAGTTACCGAGCTCTGGAGATGTAGCATCGATTTTGTAAACGATATCGTCAGTGCTTCTCACCTAATTTCAGAAATAATTAATACTGTCAAATCACTGGACATAATTATTAAAGTAGATGTAAAAGCATTTCTGATCCCTTGGCCTTAACCTTGATGTATAACTTGCACGTTGCATTTGAAAAAAAAATTATGAAGACCCACTTTTTCAAAGAGTTATCACAGAAGAAAAAACAATAAGAAATGGAAATATTGATTTATAATGGCTAATGCAGCATTTCATGTAAAGGTTGTTGAAAGACATGCAATAATTATGGTACCCCCACTTCCTTCCCATTTCATCTGAGAAACTTTATTTTTTTGTTTGAAAGGGTAATGTACTTAAACAATTGCTAAGGAGATTTTTTTTACTTCACTTTCATTTTTAAGAATATTTATTTTTTTGTTTAAAGGACCTCGATCTGTACACTGATGGAAATTTTCTGAACATTGAAATCCAACTACACTTACCACCCACGAGTATAACCATGAGTAGTTATTGCAGCGGGCTTTAATCTTACAAGCATCTGCAATGTTGTACTCGATCCCTTCATATTCATCCAAAACTGTAAACTTGGGTATAGGAATATCTGACCAAACCCCTAGTCCCGCGTCAGGGATACCGGACAGTGATATATAAAAACTCTCTGGAGTTGTCTTGTTGGCGTGAGTAGATGCAGGGGATTCAGTCCGTGTCTACAATCGTTTAGAAGATTGTTTAAAGTACTCCAAGAACAGGATATTTTGAACGTATATTTTTTCAACCGCAATTAACGTGACTTCATGGATTATTAATTTGTGACGTACACTAGCTTATATGCAAAATTGTGAAAAAACTAATGCATTACAATTTTCCTTATTGTATATACATATGTAATATAATCGCATGTCTACTAAAAAAGAAAAGAATCACATTTTGATCAATTTGAAAAAGCTTGCCTAATAATTTGAAGAATTGAATGAGAAGTAATCGAATATAAGTTGCATATGTTAATCTAGTATTACCTTGCTCTTCTTTATAAAGGTAAAGGAAGGGACATTTCTTCTGAATTTTCGGTATTCCTCACAAACTATATGACAAAATATACTTTCGTTTATACACATGGACAAAAACTGTTTTTATAACTACTTGCATGTGGTATGTTGTAAATTTTGAAATAACCAGGTGGCAGTAAAGACAAAATTTACAGAAATACACATGTATGTACATGTACATGTAAATGGGATACATGTACGACTGGATTAATATATGTAAATGAACCTACTTTGTTTGTAAATGATGCAAAGAAGATGGGCGCATTTGGCGTGTGATCTGCAGGAATCATTTGTACGAAACACTTATGGTTTAAATGTCCATGATTTGGTTGGCTGAACACAGCTTGTCAGAGTTTACAAACACGTCCATGGGTTTTTTTTTTCAGTTAGTTTGAAAGTGTGAGATTGTAACATTTTTGTCCGTTTTTCCTAGGGGGTACTATAACAGTTATGTTTCACAAAAATAAACACCTAAAATATTTAATGCATATATTGATGCATGATACGTGTACATGATGTACATTATATAGATATATCCAAACTGAACCATATTTTCAAAATTTTAATATATCAACATAAAACGAAACTGACAAAATAAATGGTTGTTTGCATGTAAAAAAAAAATTAACGCCCCATGCAAATTTTCGATGTACACTGCAATGAGCTATCACCGCTACTACACAGATCATTTTAAAAGGACAAAGAAGCACCACATTCACACATTTTTTTGGGGGGGAAAATTTTTTAAAAAAGTGTATTCGTTTCTTTGAATTAAAATACACACAAATAACGTTTCAAAATCATGGAGAGAAGAAAAGAAAAATTTGATGTTTGAAAATGTACCATTTTGTACCAAATGTCTGATCTGGCCAATTTTCAAGTTATTTTTTTAGAAAATCAAAACTCAATTTCGGGAAAATATTTTCCTTTTTCATAAATAAAAAAAATCTTAAAATTTCATGTGACATGTGGATAAAATTTTCACTTTTCAATTACGCCCAGATTCCTGCCGAATGCCAATCAAAAGCGCCCTCGTTCTTTATGGCAATGTCATTGAAGTTTAAATAAAAAAAAGAGGGATTCGGGAAAAAAATTAATAAATAACAGACAAATAATTATATTTACTTTTTTCATATTCTTCAAATTAAGAGAAGAGATACTGATTGAAGATGAATTTTTACAGAAAACCAAATATTGACAGGTACTTACATTTCTTTGACACTTCTGCTATCTCGTTCATTTCTTGAAGTGATGAATGAAGATTAGTCTAAACTCAAAATAAATAAATATTAAACCATGCCTGTTACATATATATACTAGACCTATGTAGAGTTCAATAAAAACACACAAGAAACTCACCATGCACAGAAATCGTACCACTTACCTCTCTGCTTTCTGGTTTTCGAAAAAAATCTAATTCTGTGAAATTAAAAAGGGAAAATACAATTCCTAACATTTTTTTTATTTAATCACACAATGTAATTTTTGTCTGAAATAATACGAGATAATTGTCTACGTATACTACATGAGTTATGTATTAAATAAATGTTTGTCTTCTCCCGACTCGGTCTGAAAATACTGGGTTGGTAGGTAGGTAAGATTTTTTTCCCCCAGAAAATTCCATTTTCAATTTGCTATTTTTTTTTAATTATACACTGTACTTTTCCAGAGTACATATTAAAAATACTTCCTGGAGGTTAAAAAAGTTTTGAGTCAGCAGGTCGGGAGAAGGTAACAAAAACAACTTTTTAAAAGATGGCCCGACCTTGGATGTACTGTGTGATTGTGTATTCTTTCTCCCTGGAGTCTAGGACCAGCATTCTCCCTCCCTGTTCTTTACATGTCTTTATCGAGTCCGCAGCTGACATCGGAACCTCGTGTAAAGAAATGCACCATTTGACCACTCTTTGAAACCCTCTTTTACATTGAGCTACACCGCCATCAACTTATATGAAAGTCATAATAAATGAATGAATAAGAGTATTTGAATAAATAATTGAACATATATAAATTATTTATATAACTTCTAATTGGGGAATTGCACGTACTTGATAAAGACACTGTGAGTAGAATTATGAACCAGAGGATGTGATCTGTATTATTCAATGTCGGTAATAACATCAGTTCTCATGAGGGTATCTGGAAAAAAAACCCAGAAAAGTAGAAAAAAAAAACTTAACAGTATTAAAGGGGAAACCATTTTGAACATTAACTTTTATTCTCTACTTGGAAACCTTGTACATGGCGTTACTTTATCAATTCATTGCTGTAAATTCTGACCCTACTCCCCCCGCGCGCTTCACAAAGATCGCACACATAAATTCGAATTTTTCTGTTACGAAGACATATTCATTTACAAGACGTATGATTTTTGATATACGGTGCACGCACAATATTCCTTATTTCTAAGGGATTCTCTGCTGAAGAGTTTTTGTTTCCGATTTGCAGAAAGATACATATAGTAATCCCGCGTAAGCGTACGTAATGCTATTATTGAGTTACACAGCATAAAACTATTAGACTAGTTCTAAAAGTCATTGTGTTTTAAATATTTTTGTGGGATTCATGTCACTTTTAGGCGAACAAGCAAATATTACACGAAGATCAACACACGCACTTGATGCCAGACTGAACCCCATCCCCCTTTTTCCATTTTTTTCTTCTTCAATCTGGGGTCGACACATTTTTTTCCTATTTTTGTGTTTTCATATGCACTAGACGATATCGATAATGTAACCTTTTTGTCTCAATAAGCTGTTCTTCAATATATCGCTTTCGACGTCGACTTAAAAGAAAAAAATGGGGAAAAAACGGGCGGGCCCGGGGATGTTTCCAGCCCCCAGGGGCCTGTGAGGATCACATGATGTGTCCCCTCTTCCCGAAATAACCAAACGAAGATTATAAATCAGTAATTACTGTAAAATCACATATTTTCGTGGGGTCAAACTTTTGTGGTTTGAGTAAAAACTCTTGGTTTGTTGGGATTTGAATTCGTGGATGAAGTTTTGTTGAGTAGTTATGTATGTAACATTTTACAGCTGAGTACCCGCATGATCTGTTTATGCAACAAAAAACGATAAAAAATGTTTTTAATGTCAAAAATCGGCGAAGGAACTATTTGAATTTTAATTGATTAATTTGTGGAGGATGGAGTACCTTCGCCCTCTTAATATTATAACCCCTACCCCTTATAATTTTTGCTTTAGTTGAGATATAAAATTTTTGAAGGATGTGATACAAGTACTAGTGCCACTTTCTCAGCCCCCCTCCCCCTCCTTAGAAATATATTAATGTATGGCTTTTGGACCCCAACCCTACCATAATATCCGAAAGTTTTCTACATACCGGTATTTGATTTGAATTACAGGGATTGTTCTTACCTTTTCGGAGACTGTGGTTAACCGAGATATTAATCATGCAATTTACCGATATGTACCATGGAGTACTCAATATGTCGGAATTGAAGGAAGAATGCTCATAATATACTACTGCAATAGGGGGTAACTGTGTTGGCTTGCATATTACAACACACAGTCAGCCATCTGCTAAAAACAACACAATCATGATTAATTCTCTATCAATCAATAATATATGCTGATTTTGCATATTTGAAAAGTCGTCTTTCAAAGAAACTAGAACGCATATTAATTGTGCACCGACCCCGTCTTTTAAAATCCTAAGTTGGGTGTGCATGTACTTAACAAAAAATGAACGAATGACTTAACAATAAAATGCTTGGATCTACATTATATATCAGATAGGAGGTTGTTAACCATTTTTTGTCGGACATTTAACAAAGTACGTTTTTTAAAAAATATGACACTGACTCAAAAGTGGATGTTTCCAGAAACAATGCTTTACAGTTAATGTTACAACACATAGAGAACCTTTATCCATTGGTACTCACGCACCTGAAACAACCGCAAGATTAACAGCTAGCGTGAGCCCCCCCCCCCCCCAAAAAAAAAAAGATGATCTATTATAATTTAGCATTGTCTAAATAAAATGCAAAAGTACCATACAGTTTCTATATTTATCTTAAAACTTCTGTTTATTCACTGCTAGCTGAAGAGATAAAAGGAAAAAAAATGATAAAAGGAAAATTCAGTGTTGGGAGTTATTTCACTCATGAGATAGATTTTTAAAAAAAAAAACTTTTACTCGTGCTTTGCACGATACATATACACGTGTATGGACTACCTTGTGCATCTAATATGTAAATTCTGGTGATTTTTTTTTTTAAAATTATTGTTAATTATTACTATTTAATGTTTTTTTTTTTATTTGTTTGTTTATCCCTGTGTTTAGGTTTATTTATTTATTTATTTATTTATTTCTCTATTTATTTATTTATTTATTTATCTATTTATTTATTTATTCATTCATTTTAATTGTCTTTTTATTTCTGCTCGATTTTTGGTTTAAAACAAACATTTCATAAAAAAAAAAATCCGTAGCCCACTCTAAACATGTATATTATAAAAACATACCTTTAGGTTTTTTTTAAATTATCAAATAATTGTTTGGGGGGAGGGATTTTTCGGGTTGATATTATTTAGGGCCTATACTTTACATAACGAAAACGAAAATGTTATGAAAGATAGTTTATGGGGGGGAAATCGTAAAGATTCAAGGGTCTACATTGCGGAGGAGGCCCTGTCCTCACGTATTAAACATGGAGCAAAAAAGGCTAGTCAAGGTGTATCTCGAGCCTCGTATCTCAGGTGCAAGACGGAACCTTTTTTTAAATCGGACTCGGGACTCAAAACATTCGTACTTCTCTGGTTTCATTAGTAATTGAACCAAGGTAGTTGTTCCGAGAAAGCAAATCATTGGAAACATCTAGGTTGTTTACAAATGGCGGAAAGGGAAAGATTATCGGAAATCTAAACAAAATTGACGAACTAATGCGTAAGTAACACACTGTTATTTACATCTACCAACAATACAGTAGACTTATTCAACGAAATCATCAGTAAGTTTCAATTTGCTCTTGTTATGATTCACGCCTGCTAATCGATCACTTGCACAACCAGCAGTTGTGTATAACAATCAAAAGAGATCGATTTCCGGTTGTGCAGTTGATGCAAATAATTCCAGTGCACAGGTAGTAAATGGACTCGATTCAGACAATAATTGATATTTTTATTAAAATATAAGAATGTGATTCCATGAGCAATTTATTTTTCTTTGATTTTACACTCTCATAAAATGCAGTGATTGTCGATTTATATTTGTTTTGAAGCAAGGGCTGGTAGAGCGAAAACGCTGATTGAAAACAGTATTCGCCGACTAAAATTCGTTTTAATCTCACCTAACCTTGAAAATTCAATGTCCACCATGAGTATGCTTCCTATTATGTGTATAATTTGACAAATATTCGCAGAAAATAACATTGGTTGTGCATGCGATCATTCAGTTGTGAAAGAGATCTCGGGTTATGCATGAGATTTTCAAACTTTACGAATAAAATTAAACATTATATAATTATAACAAAAATTTAAAACATAAAACTATAGAATTTTCTTGCAAATAAGTTGAATTTGTGAGAAAAAAAGATATATAAGATAAGTAAACTGTTGAAGTAGATCTGTTAGGGGAGCTAGGGGGTTAAAGTTTCAGTTACAATCAATATATATAATTACAGTAAAAAATTATGTGTATATTATTTAAATCATAAATCTTGTGTGAATTATCCAATGCATCTTTAATATGACTATTCCGTATGCAAAAAAAAAAAATAATAATAATAAAATTAATAATAAAAAAAGAGATAAAATAAAATAAAAAATTAAAAAAAAAAATGGCATATACTGGGCAGTATATCATTTTCTTTCAATTGTTTAACTCAAAGACATACCTTACCTTTATTTGACGGTACTTCAACAAAAGTGGGTAAAAGTGCTGTCTGTGAAAAAAATAAGAGGCAGGCTCTCGATGATATGTGTTTGCCAAGGGGTAAATATTTTCTGGTGTTTTGAAGCTAGGTATCATGAATTTTGTTATCTGGAAAGGATCAAGATGACAACACCACATTACAGGTGCTTCTGGACAGGACCCCCCCCCCCCCCCCCGGACTTCTTGGACACTTTTTATATCACAAATTATATTTATTACATTTATTCATCATGTATACTATAGGGGAAAAATCGTCAAAAATCCAAAAAAATCGTTCAATAAAAAATATCCCTATTAAACATTCCAAATAAAATTAATGCAAAGCATCAAATCAGCCGCAAAGTTTATAATTTCAAAAATTACTAGTACTTTCTTTATTTCAAAGGCATCAATGCATGGGAAGCACAAAATATTCAAAGCTGAAATAGATCAATTTCATTTCAGTCTGTCTTCAAAGCAAAAATAAATAAAATGTTTTTTTAATTAAATAGAAATTTTAGTGCATTTGTTCATCAAATGGAGTCATCAATGAATCAATAAAAAAGTCAATGATGAATTATAAGAATGTATGAATGAAGATGTAGGTCTCTCAAGATGAACCACAGGCCGAAACCCTGGATCCTAATCACGTGATAATACCCATGGTTTCTGCAGTAGGCTAATCAAGGCGCGTAGTTTGATGCAAAAAATTTAAGAAAAATATTTGTTGTCACATCTGTAGCACATTCAAAACAATTTTTACTACAGTGTTGTTGATAAACTTTTTCAATTTTTATTCACCTTGCAACTTTTACCACTTCATTATTATCTGGAAAATCATGACGATTTCCTTTCATATCTTGATTACTCCCTGGTTGGGGAGTACCTATTGTAAACTCTTTCTATATAACCATATATTATTAATTACCCAATTAGAAATGACAATGAAATTGTAACAACAACAATAAATGCTCAGTTTAAAGAAAGTTTTTAAAATTAAGATTAGTTTACAGAACTAATGAAAAATAACGCCTCATTTCCCTATATAAGAGATCGGCTGCTGCTGCTGAGAGTACATCATTGGCGGATCTAGAAGGTGGTTCCTGGGGTTGGACCCCCCCTCTATTTGATTAGAGAGAGAGTTATGTAACACGGATATTTTATTACGTCTAATATTTTGAATAAAATAAATACTTTGAATTAAAAAAAAATATTTCGAATAAAATAAATACACTGTACATGTTGTTCAATCTCTGTCCTTTCTGATCGCTATAAATAGAGTTCCCTCGTTTAATATGCTTTCCTCCGAGTACCGTCACATGCAATGAATCCGAGCCCTGCTTGCTTGTTTGTGTTTTTGTTTTGTTTGTTTGTTTTTTGCTTGTCAAAGTCCCCCATAGAACTGTTGAAAACTCAGTGTTGCCAGGTTTGAAGTGCCTATATGCATGAGTGTTGGACACCTGGACACCCCCCCCCCCCTTTTTTTCAAAAATTGCTAGATCTGCCCTTGTAACGTCTTCATATTATAGACAATATTTAAAATTTTATAATTACCAAAAATAAAATAGTGTAAGAGGTGAATTATGGAGATTGTATAATACTTGCGTAACTTTTTATCCTTTATCTCATGCATAACCCGAGATCTCTTTCACAACTGAATGATCGCATGCACAACCAATGTTTTTTTCTTCGAATATTTGTCAAATTATACACATATCGAAGTCTCAGTTTTGGTGGATAGGATGCACTTGTTGCATACTCATGGTGGACATTGAATTTTCAAGGTTAGTTGAGATTAAAACGAACTTTAGTCGGCGAATACTGTTTTCAATCAGCGTTTTCACTCTACCAGCCCTTGCTTCAAAACAAATATAGTCGCTAATCGACAATCACTGCATTTTATGAGAGTGTAAAATTAAAGAAAAATAAATTGCTCATGGAATCACATTCTTATATTTTAATAAAAATATCAATTATTGCCTGAATCGAGTCCATTTACTACCTGTGCACTGGAATTATTCGCATCAACTGCACAACCGGAAATCGATCTCTTTTGATTGTTATACACAACTGCTGGTTGTGCAAGTGATCGATTAGCAGGCGTGTGATTGTATAGCATGAAAATCCCACAAGATTATATTATGTAATGTTATACTTTCATAATTTTATGTCAACATGTGCGACCAATCCTTTGAATACTTAACGTTATTTTTTTTTTCGAGAAAAGCCCTGTGCATTGTATCATTAGCTACTCCCAGTCTGCTTTTTCTGTGTGATGAAATGGTGCACCATTGATGATCAATATGTAGCAAGTTTAGTGTATTCAATACACTATTTTTAAAGTCATACATATATATGGCGTATTTTTGATAAGTTCAGAAAACTAAAATCAAAAAGAAAAAGATCTTTTTATTTGGTTTGTAATTTTACAGTCGCCCGTGTGGTGCAGTGATTAGAGCATCTGCCATAGAGTCGAGAAGTAAGGAGTTATAATCCTTACATCGTGGGTTCAAATCTCACTATACGAGGTGGAGACTGTTCCCTCAGATGAGACGTACTGCATAAATCGAGGTCCCGTGTCGCAGTAGATGCTGGCATGAAAAAGATCCCTCAAAGGCCCTGTCAGTGCCGAGTATATAGATAATTTTCGATAGCCCTGAATTTAGCGAGAGTTACTTCCTGTTGGCCGCCATATTGGAGGTTGACTCTGTGATTTTTCCTCTTTGTCTTACCAAGTTTAAGAGGATATAGCAGAAATATTTGGTGGAAAATCTTTATTAAATATTTTTTTTAAATCAAGGAGGCTTCCAAAAATTTATATACTGTAGAAGTACTTTTTTCCGTGTGGTATTAATTTACGCTATATACGCTGTCACAAATAATCCGCAGAAATTTGTCCAAGAGTACTTAATATAAATGTAAGGCAAATATAGTGACAATCTAGAAAGTCCGTGTAATTTTCTACCCGCGGATTAAACAGAAATTGAGATTCCCGCGAAATTATGATGGAAAAAATTACGTCTACAGTAGTTCAGAAAAATAATGATTCCTAATTCAAAATAGCAAATATAAAAATTCTAAAATTGGTTGAACAATGAAGGAATAAGAGCATTTGGACCTCCAATATGGCAACCAACGGGATATAACTTTCTAAATTCTGGCCAGTCTAAAACTATTTAAAGGACAAAATTTGCAGCGCTCCACCGGCAAGTGATGGCATCTCCATATGAGGGATAAATTCTCGAGAGGGACGTTAAACAATAAACAATTAATCTAAAGATAGGACATTCCTGTAAATTACACAATTCAAATCAATCGTGTTTCATAGATATATTCGAGCTTTAAAACAATAACTGCTTTATTTTCCGACTCTGCATTTAAATATCAGACACACTTTAAAGTCAATTTAACTATAGAAACGTGGGGATACTTAAGTTCAAAATTGGTGAAATATTTAATTGTAAGCAGAACGTTAATGACAAATATAATGTAAATCTACACCTAATCTCGTACTTTGATTTTTTAGCTCAGATACGGCATATATAGCTTTAAAAATTGTAGTCGGAAAGGAAACAAAAAAAAAAATTAATATCTTGAACAAATTTCTTTTCTTATTTTGGATTTTGATTTTTACTAAGTCTTACCACCTCTATTATGTCCATGCAGTTATCTTACAGACCTTCGCTTGAATAAAAAAGACCTGTCTTGATGAAGATATATTTTTTTGTAATATGTTGTATACATTCTACAATTTTAACACATTTTAAGAATTTATCTAATAAAGCTTTGTCTTGGCTCAAACAGTTCATACAAATGAAGTTTAGAATAAAATTGACTATCTGTATTCATATAAATACATGTCTTTCAGTAATTGTTAGGAAAACCTTTGCCTCTAATCATTTTACTTTGGTTTAAAATTAAGATTTAATATGCATTTATTTTTTTTCTTTTTTTACGTAAAATTTTGCTTTCTCATAGAAATTTTTAAGATGTTTTTGCGAGTTGGATTTTGCTCTTTGGTTTTCCACCATGTCTTTTGGATTTAGCTCTTTGGTTTTCCACCATGTCTTTAAGAACAAGAATCAAGGGTTTTACGGCATGGGTGAACCTGCGCCTCATGCCTTACGACCATTTACTAAACAATGTTATCATGGATCTACTAACTGGGACCCACATGAAATACCTTGTGGAGAGCATTACTGGTTATGATATAAAAAGACTGGAGAGTTTTGATGAGTATGTATATAACAAAATTTTACATTTTTCACTCTGCCTACATGATTAGAATTAGGTATTGGAATTACCTCAATTTTCATATCTTTCTTCTTCTTTTTGGATTTGAATTCCCAAAACTGGAAGATGAAGCAACATTCTTCATGCCAACCTGCTTTCAGAAAAGGACAAACTTTGTGACGATCAATGTTTATTTTGAAAAAGCAGTCAGTTATGCCTACAAATATATGTTGTATATTTTTCAGCCTGTCACAGCAGCAGAAGCAGACCAGGGTAGATTGGATTGTGGACGAGCTGAAGAAAGCGTCGGTTTTACCGTCAGATGTCCATGTAGACACTCGTCTGTTTGCCATGAGAAGTGCTGACCAGGTCAGTCAGGACCCTAATAATGGCTGAAATCTGTCACTCAGAAAGATATAGTCAACCTTTTTGCTCAAATTATTTTACTAATTGTTTCATAAACAGTATTGATAAATGAAATTCCATATCAATACCATCTATGTAGATTTTACAATTTAATGTCTGTATACTTATTTTACAAATTTTCAATTGGACCTGGAAGATTCATGTTGTGTATAAAATTAGTTTGAACAGTGATATATTTCTGTACCAGGTGTTTGACCTGCTGTGGCGGCTGATCAGTCATGATATCTGGTTTGTGTGGGAGAGAGCAGAGTATCTACAACAGCTGGATGAGGATGTGCTCTGTCAGGTGCCCTTCAAGGTAAGCTTCTCTGTCAGGTGCCCTTCAAGGTAAGCTTCTCTGTCAGGTGCCCTTCAAGGTAAGCTTCTCTGTCAGGTGCCCTTCAAGGTAAGCTTCTCTGTCAGGTGCCCTTCAAGGTAAGCTTCTCTGTCAGGTGCCCTACAAGGTAAATCTAGCATGGTTCAATTTAACAAGAAGTAAGCATCAGTGCATTTTAAATCACATATTTGTATCATTTACATGTATTGCCATTATATAAGTGGACATTGTATTGTAGTGGACACCTGAGCCACCTCCTGTTAAGAAGAAGAAGAAGCAACAGAAGAAATCTCTACTCTCGGGTTTTGGAGGAGCAGGATCTCAGGATGAAGTAGACGTCAGTTTCATTTTAGCATATTCTTTTTAGTTCAGTATCTTCACTAAGTAGATGAACTAAGGCATTGACATTCTACTTTGATACAAAGCAAGTAAAAATATTTTTACTTTTATGATACATGTTTTGTACATATAGGAGGAAGATTTGGCAGACTGGATCAAGTGGCCCAATGCTGACTATGTCAAAAACTTCAAAAAGAAGAAAAGGGACTTTGGAGATTATCCCAGTCCTGATGATTGTATACTGGAGATGGTTAACTATCAACTTAAGGTACCTAAACATTAGCAGTTATTTTCATTGGACTAAAATGATGCATTCTTCTTGGTTTAAACTTGATTGACTTCTATATTTCTGTTTACAGCAGGGGAGAATTGACATCTATCAATATTGATGATGCCTAACCATCTAAATATTTTGATCATCAGTCCTTGTGTATATTTCTCTCACATTATTGTTCTCCAGAAATTAAACACTGATAAGGTTTAATTGTTTCAGACTGTCAACCGTTTGATCAATCTCAAAGACAACAATTAAGCTAAGGTAGAAATTAATAAAAAATTCTCAGAGTCTGAAATTTTTTTTCCTTTATTGCAGACTGTCAAAGATGGGAAAAACCTGAATTGTCATGTAAGTGTGTTTAATGGAATTTTAGATATTTTAAATAATGAAGATGATGGTAACATTTATATTAAACAGATAGGAGGCAGAAAGTTGTGAACTTATAAATGTCACTATGCCAACACGTTCATAACTGACCATTATTACTGGTAAAGCAAGTCTGAAGGAATTATTGAGAAATATTAAAGGCTACAATGTACATCAACTGTTTAAAAGTGCTGATTTATACTACTGCATAAAACCTTAAATTGAAAAAATAATAATTATGTTTAATACTTTGATAATACTGTACAATGAAATTGAAAGTACCATAGTTGTAGTTTTTGGTAATATTCGGATGAATGAAGTAGTATGTGTTATAGATCCCTATAGATACCCCATACCCTGTAGAAGTGAATTTAATGCATATATAACAGCCAGATCACTCAGAAATCAATAACCAGAATCATTAATGTCATAATTTAATGTAAAACAAGGCCAGTGACACCCTCCCCTTGCCAGTAGGGGAATCTGTGCCTAGACTAGGACTGGTTTGAATGAACGTTGACTTTTTCAGTCCATAGATGACCTTGTAGATAGCCGAGTGCTGTGTGCTCTAGTCAACTCCTTTGTACCTAACACATTTACCTCAGACCTGCTCCTCAATGATCGGTAAGTTAGTGGTAGACTTGTAGTCACTTACAGTATTAACAGAAATATTTACAGGGATTTAATTTTGTTTATTTCAATGCTATCATTTAGCAATGAAATTAAATCCCACACAAAATTTTTATATGCATATTTATTGAATAGAGTTGCTTTCAAAATAACAAAAAAATTAATGCCCCTTGAAACCTTTTCATGTGAGAAATCGTAGAAATTTTAACCCTGCACATTTTGTACAGTAAATATACAATTAGCATTTCCATGGTAGTCCCATTTAAGTGAGTACCGGTACATGTAGATGCCTAATAGAATAAATATTCTGTATAGCAACCAAGACATAGCTAAAGAGCATAAAACCAGTTTAAAATGCTTCTGAGTATTGTAGAGTGTTAACTAAAGATTAAATGAGATCACTAAAGGAGCTGAGCTGTGTACAGCTGAAAAAAGTGCTTTCCATATATGGACCAAACTGTGAAGAAAAATGGCTTGATACCTGCATGTTCAATTTAAGTTTTAATTATATCCTAAAAATTAATGTTGACAAGTCTCCATGTAATGGCCCCTGATAAAGGACGTGTATGTATATAAGACAGAATCAGTAACTGTATAATCTCTTAAGGTGGACAATTATCCTGGCTCTGAAGACGGCAGAGAGAATGTTTTATGCTGATACACCATTTGATTCCGAGGATTTGGTTGAGGTAATAATGCTTTCTCTTTATGTTCTGATGGACTCAGATTTAACTGACTGTGTAAAGTTTCTCAGTTCATATTATCAATTAATATTCTTTTCTACATGTTCCAGTTGCCCTGTTTAATTTGATATACATGTATTTAATGATATTTCAAAGTTATTCATGAAATTGATGCATGATCAAGTCCACTTCAATATTTTTTATTACCCTATTATATTTTTCTACATTACAGGCAGACCCAATGGCAGTGTGTTCATACTTTTGTTTTTTCTTTATGATGGCCTACAAATTTCGTCAATGTCGAGCTGTTGTCAACAGATTTGTAAGTCTTGTGATTATAAGCAGACACTATATAGTATCACCATGAAATGATATTATGGAAGGTCAGTTAGGTACTTATTTCAGCAAAATACACAACAGATGAAAGCGCACAATTCAATTTTTAATTCCCTCCGCAGAGATTTGCATTAATCAAACTATTATACTGCATGTTTGCTCATTATAATAACTTATTTGTCAAAGAAAAACATTATTACACCCAGTAATAGCAATATTATATTATTACAAACTGAGTGGTCTTTGATTGAAACCAATTCATCCAAATTTATGCAGCCTCAAAAAAACTCAACATACTATTAGATAAAAAGCAGGTTCTCTGCATATGATATTTAGGTGACTGTTCATGGTCTGTAGGTTTTTATTTTTGTTATTATAGGAATTTATTGGCATGCTGATCAGAGAGGCCCAACATGAGATAGACAAGTTTGCACCCATAGTAGCCAACATGCAGGAACTACAGAGGAGGAAGGAACTGAAGAATGAGATAGAAATGCACCGACAAGGTGAAGTTCTATGTGTACAGTTATACTGATTTATCATTTCTAAAGCCTTGATGAAAGTGATCATAAGAAAAGTTGTCTAGCTATAAATATTACTGGACCCGACCGCATAGGTTACATGGAGTTAACATTATTTTAAATTTTGATTTTGTTCCAATAGCCCAAGACAAGATAAAGAAGAAGTTTGATGTGGATTATTGTAAAAAATGGATGCAGCATATTGAACATGCCAAGAGTGAGGTACAAATCATTATTTGATAAAAACTATTTAATCATATACGTGATAAATGGCTTCAAGAATCAAAATCTTACTCTGCATATGTTTATTCAGTGTTTTACTATTTATTGATGATACAGGGCTTCAATGTTTTTTTTTTGTATGTGTATTTCAGGTTCGACGCTCTATAAGAGACAAGATGAGAAGTCGATTTGATATTATCACAATTCCTAGGAATATCACAGTCAATGACCTTTGCCTGGCTTTTGTCATTAACCTGGTATGACTATGTTAATATAATCAAACAGTTTGATTATAGCAATAGAGGTTGACCACCAACAAAGCTTTAAACAGTAAACTGTACACATACATTGTATAAGTAAAACAGTTATCTATTGGTGAGGTTTCATATTGTCCAGCAGTTTTCTTAAAAAAAAATATGTCCGAGACTTATTTTCCTCCAGTTGTTAGACTTGTTGAAAATCTTCACCTTTTTGAATTTCTTCGGCAGAAAAAGTAGCCTTTCATATTTCTAGATAATTTAAAATTTTATATCGTTTTTCAGAGTTTGACAAATGGCTCTGGGTTTTATGAAGTGACATCAAAAGAGGTCTGGGCAGAGGGAAGGAAAATCGTCATCAAAAACAAAGAGACAGGGGAGTTTACTGACGACTTCAGTGGGGTCAACAAAGGTTGGTTTGATTATTTTGGGTGAATGGTGCAGGGATTATTTAGTTGTTACAGAAGAGGAATTAACAATTAGTATAAGAGGATGTGGGGTCGCAGGGGCTGACAAATAGATTTATAAGGCACTCGTCGAAGGGCATGTACATGGTCAAAATTCACTTGCTCTACCTGAATTTTTGCTTGCCCTACAGTAAAAGTGAGGATGGCAAATACTTCAGTAGATCATGGAACCCTATGTCCAGCTTTAAATTTATAACTTACATATTAATTTTATTTTGAGTTAAGCCACATGCCCATGGACAAATGGTTGATAAAATTTCACTTGCCCACTTCTAAAATTCACTAGCCCCGGGCGTCGGGCAATGGGATTTGTCTTCCCCTAAGTCGGAGTAGTTACACCGATGACTGCTCCAACCATTAATTTCAGAATCTCTAAAATTTATTCGAGAAAACTTTAGTGATAGTTGTAATACATATATTTTGGGTTACAGGACCCAGTGTTAGAGAGCTGCTGAGGCTACCAGATGCTGGGGTTATTGAGATCATGCCTGGAGATCACCCAGAGTATGAGGTATGGCAGAAACTGTCCTGACCATATCTTGTAATGATGCATTTATTTTATGATGAGCTTTCTTTCTTTTAACCTTCAATTATTTAAACTTCTTTCCCTAGATCTTCCTAGAGGCACCAAGTCGTAACAAACAACTAAAGGCAGGGATAAAGTTTCTGTACCAGGTATTCCCTGGGAACACGGGATCATGGCAGCGTCTGTTCATTAAGTCGGCCCGAGATAACGAGTTTGAGACGGTGGAGAAGATGATCATTTTCTTTCAGAGTCATCCACAGTTCATCAACGCTAAGGAGCCCAAGTCAGGAAACACAGCACTACACTGGGCCTGCAGGAACGGACATTTTGTAAGTACTGGGTTTAGCTACAGCACAGGTGGCTGTATTTTAACTATTTAGTGGTAAACCAGGGAATGTCATTAACTACAGAACTACAATCAGATGAACTGCATTCCTTCTTATCAACTCGATCATTTGCCTGAAATATGATATATATATTCATGTTTTATTCCATTTTTATTCTCTTCCAATTTGAAATGCATCACAAATATTTTTTATCAAAGAAATAAGTTGTTCAAGCACAAAATGATATTTTATGTTTTAATTTATTTTGTGCTAGCATTGGTTGAATCACAATCGCTGGCTGTTCAAAGCCAAAGATTCAATGGGATATACTGCCCTTCACTGGGCCTGCAAAAATGGCCATTTTGTAAGACTAAATACTGTAGGGTGGCTGGCTAATGCACCATAGAGTTTTTGTTTTGTAGTTTGTTTTGCATTGCCAATTATATCAAGTACTGTAGATGTATTTACTTGAGTTAACTTTTAGATACAAAAACACAACAGTCTGGTGTTTACAGTATTAAAGCAAATATTTATGCAAAGGTTTGTTGAAAGCTTAATTGGAGTGATTGATGGTAATGAACACCTATCGGGTAAACCATATACATGTAGTAAAATGCTACCTTCTTTTATATTTTGTTTCAAAATTGTTATCATTATGCTAATTTGTAGAGCCATGACTTTCAACATATATTGACAAAGAGTGATATGTACTTAATAGCACCCATTTTTTTCTTCTGAGGCCAGAGTAAAAATGCTTTAATTCTTAATTCTGATAATTACCAAAATTGCATCTCTTGGAAAGAATGAATCAAGTGAAATAAAGCCAGTTAAAATGCAAATTAATGACACCAGCAACTGTAAATATATGATGCATGCAAGAAAAAAAAATGTTTTTGTTAAAAAATAAGTAAATAAATAAAATAAACTGGTTTTTCTTTCAAAGTAAAAAGAAGAACTTTCAGCAGGTTTAAGTATCAGCTATTTGTGGTGTTACAGGGTTTTTGATAAAAGCCATATATATGAATTGAATTTTCTGCAAAAGATTCATTGGCAAAAACTATTTGATATCATGTGCATCCATTCTTATACACTAGCTACACATACAAATGTAATATGTCTATATGTATCAGATGCATAATGTAATCATAATAAATATTAGCACATCAAAATTGAGCATAATCTACCTTCTAGACTAGCATTAAGCTTTCTGAATGTATTTGACTTGATCTTGAATTGGCAAACAAAAAGCAGCACGAAAGGTGCACTAATATTCATATACATATATATATTTGTAATCAATGCTCAGTGCATTTTAATAGTATATTCAGTCTCTACATTGAAATCATATAAAATATATAATTCAGTATTATTTGATATTTTTTTTAGGAAATAGCCAGGCTGTTAATGGAGAATGGTGCCAACATTGACAGTAAAAACATCCTGAAAAACACCCCATTGAATGCTGGGATAGAGGGCCTTCAGAGAAAAATATGTCATGTATGTTATTCTGAAGAAAGTAGAAAAATATGCTGTGTACAATATCCTTATAGATACCAATTTTAAGTATACTATTTTTCAGATGGCATTTTACCTTTAGTTTAATATAGCATCGTTTTTTTTTTCTTTTTAGTATCTTATAGAGTGGGGATGTGATGTTCACTTTAAAAACGCTAAAAATCTGACACCATTTGAGACAGTGAAAAATGATGAATTTAAGAGATACCTAATAGGTGAGTAGTTTTCAAAAAGTAGATTTACAATCAAGAATAGAAACAATAGCGTCACATTTTTCTGGGACGAGAACAAGTTTACATTGGAGAATAATGTGAAGTAAATGCTTCAATTCTTTTCTTCTTTTTTAGAGCATTGAACATGTCTCTTGAAATAAATTTATGTTAATCAAGTTAAAAAAATGTTGGGGGTTATTACTCTGGTAGAGTACGTTTTAAAGAATGGATAAAAAAAGTACAGTGATGGATATGTTTTTCAGAGCTGTACGAATTCTACTCGGGTGTGGTGCCCAGGATTATGAGCGGAGACATGAAGTTAATGGACCGTGTCATTAAGGACCATGCTACGGGAGTCAAGGAACTCTGTTGTCTGCGGAGCAGGTAATAATACAGGTCAAAGATCAGGGTCAGGGGGCAATGGGCTATTTTGTATTTGATATAAATAACTGTCCAAAACATCATTATTTTTTGGTTATAGTTATTGACTTGCCTGTATGTGGTGAATTTGTCCTCAATTTTGCAACACAACAGTCAGTGACTAAGTATTCGTTAATGAAAATTTGTGAGACAAATCTCTCAATTGTCGCTGTCCTAACTACACCAAAATGTGCTTGTTCTTTATTGATTGTAGTGCAGTTAGATGCATTGGTATATTATTGCTAAAAATAACATTTCTCATTTCTTTACTAAGATGCATCAATGGTAGCACCTTGCTCCATACTGCAGCTTACTATGGACATAAAAATGCCATTCGGGAACTTCTTAGACTGAGGGTGGACATTAATGTTCGAGATTACAAGGGAGCTACCCCACTACACCGATCCAAAAACACCGAAATCATGGAGGTATGTCTCAGTAGATCTCATCAAATCAAACCAAATACATGTAACATTAAAATGTTGATATAACTTTTGCTATTCTGTATTTGGTACTCAGCTGTTACTGGATGCGGGGGCCCTGGTTGATGCTGAGGATGTGGAAGGAAACACCCCCCTTCACGTCAAGTGTTACGGCGAGAGTGGAAAGCCCTCAGACATGACTAGTATAGAACTCCTCCTTAACAAAAATGCCAGCCTCAGTAAAAGGAACTCCAGGGTATGTGAATATTGATCAGCTTAATGTTTTATTGTGTATAAAATTATCCCCCCCCCCATTTTCATGCTGCATATAGTTTTGCACCTGTCTGACTTTATGCTGGTAAGTCTATCGATCAGTACATAGATAAAATGATGATCAAACAGTATTCTAAAAACCCACTGACATCTTGATTTGATGTCTGCTCATTATCTTCCGAACCTTTTGATTGATAGAACAAACTTGGTACCTTGGTTTCCTTCAAATAGTAGATAACCCCAATTGATTCTTAGATCACAGGACAAGGAACTAACATCTAAATAGCTACCCCCAAAGAATAGATGACCCTGTTGACTTTGAGGCCACCCTCTGCTTGACTTGCGTCAAACTTTGTACAGTGGTACCAGCCATCAAGAAGTTGATGACCCCTATTGCTTTTTAGGGGGTCACAAGGTCAAGAGTCAAACTTACTTTAGTAGGATATGAAACGATACTGACCACTGCATATTTTGAGAACACTTTGCATGACAGACATGAAATTTTGTATACAGTGGTTAAAGCTAATAATTATGTGGGTCACTTATTGTAATAGTAATACTTCCATACTGATGTGTTGACCAAATGATTTTTTTTGCAGGGACTTTTACCAATCCATTGCTGTGCGATGCAGGGTCGTATTGATGTAATGAGGATGATGATGCGGTATGACCATGATGGCTTCATGGCTAAAGCCATCGCAGGAGAGGAGTCCAACAAACCTCCTCCAAGCCTGCTTAACCTCGCCATCGCTAACGACTTCACAGAGTGTGCTCAGTGGTAAGATGATGACTAAGCTCTTCAGAGTATATGGGGCAGGGAGGGATCTTAATTCATAAATAAGAATACATGTAATATTGTAACATTATAAAATCTCTCAGGGGATTGAATTAATATTTTTTTACATGAAAAATAAAAACGATACTGCTCAATAAAATAACCTTTTCAAAGCATTTTTTAAAAAACTGTCAATAGAAATTGCTTTGCTGTTTGCTCAACATATATATGTATCCAAGTTAAATCAAAAGCACTGATATATGTGAAATTATATATAAATTTGTCAGATAATAATTTATTAATTGCAGTTTTATTTATTATACATACAGTTTGTATGTGTATCCTAGCATCATTTGTATTAATTATAATAATATTCTTTGCAGGCTTTTGGCAAATGGGTTTTATTTCAAAGAGAAGGAACAAGATATACTGATGAGAAGAATTCTGACAGAACAAATCATACTGTAAGTGTTTACAATATAACTATCACACTGTAAATGCTGATGTTTATGTATATTGTTATATATGCAAATTTATAGAAGCAATAACTTACTCATATATTTAGGAGATTATATCCATGATAATGGGATTACTCCATATCATTGATCTTTTAAAATCGGATAATTCAATTTTAGTTGTAACATTTCATTTGATTAGGTAAAAGATTTGATCCATTTCCTATAACATAAGTTGCCTACATCATAATGAGTTATGTCAAAAATGTATTACTCTGCTTGACGTTACTTTTAAAATTTGCTAAATTTGCTGCCCTTTTTCTGGAGGAGAAATTGTCTCATTGGCTATACTGAAATTAAATGAAGCTTATTTCAACTTATGTTATGCGATGTAACATAACTTAGGGCAGTTTATGCTTTTTTATAAACCGCATTGCGGTTTATAAAGCATAAACTGTCCCAAGATACCGGTATGTTACATCATATAACATAAGTTGAAATAAGCTTCATTCCTTAAAATGTAAAAAAGTTTTTGGCAATTGTACATGGCGCAGTATCATGGAGATATTACATGGCGGATATTAACTAGAAAGTTCTCTTATCACATATATAGCATAAAACATGTTCATATACCAGTTTTAATGGTATTAGTGTCCAGTGGCACTCGGAAAAAATACAAATAACCTAATCATCACATATTATATTTGTCAGCAATTACTTCTTGAAAACAATTTTTAACACACATATTCATAATTTTTTTCTGTAGAAAAGACAGTCAGGATGCTGTGAAGTTTTTGTTGGACAATGGAGCAGATGTAAACCCCAAATACTATCCAGGGAACAACTCGTAAGCAAATTTTGTTTACATTTAATGATCTACATATTATAAATCATTGAATTTAAACCTGGCGTGTTTTCCATTCTCTATCAAACAAAAGTAAAATCACCTCACGATGCAGTACCTTTGTAATGATGTCTCTGCTGTTTCAGGGCTCTCCACTATGCTGCTAGTCTGAGTGGGGAGGCAGACATTTTAGAGTTACTTCTGAAGTATGATGCATCGGTGGATGCTTCTAATGATGAGGGGGAGACGCCATTGTTTTTTGCCACCAAGTCCAATAACCAGTTTGCTGCTTCAACTCTTATAGACCGCAAAGCTAACTACAGGCATAAAAATAATATGGGTAAGTATGCTTTTGATATATTTTACACCCTTTCCCCAATCAATGCCAAGTTTATGTTTGACTAGGCTTTATACCCCCCCCCCCCCCCCCGAGCTTTAAACAAGTACTCAATTGACTGAACTATCTGGCTACTGGTGGATACACCTGTTTGATTGCCACATATGATTTTGGAGTAACCAAACTTCAAGTTTAGAATAAATTTTTTCCAAAGAATGAAAATGACATTCAAAATCACACTAACATGGCTTACATAGTTACATTGTGTTCCCTGATGTTTATCAATGCTTTATTTTCAAGTCTTATTCAATAGCTGTACTTAAGGGAATTTTTATTTTTGACAAATCACAGTAAAAGTTCATTTTGAAAGCCATTTATCTGACTATTCACTCCCTCTTTTTTAGGTCAGACTGCCTTTGATTACATAATAGATTATGATGAGTGGATTGAATGTGGATATTTCGATGATGAAATCAAAGCAAGACTAAAAGGTAAAAAGATTCTACAAATAAATCTATATTTCAATACAGTCACCACACATTTTTATCTCACACATTAGTTACTACAAGTACATGTACACTGTAGATATTTATACAAAAATGACTCTATTGTAGCTTACAATCTGAAGCACTCCAGAGATCTAGTCAGAGCCATATCTAAGAAGGTGAAAACCATTCCCTACCACCCCCTGAGACCGAGGTACCCCTCCAGTTTGGGGACGTCACTGACCCCCTCAGCCTCACCCCTCCCCCTGACCCCCACCATCATGCCGTCCTCCTCCCACCTGACCGCGGAGACATTTGATAGAGTCAGTGGGATACTCCCCGCTATAAATAGAAGAACCTCTGTTGCTGTGGGTTACCTAGTGAACCCTCAACCTCTTTGAAGAACTGTGGGAAATTGCATAATATCTCTATTATTAATCATATAAATTTATATATTTGCTGGAATAATATAATATCCATACACTGAATGAGGTGAAATTTTTGGGGTATATTTATTAACATATGAAAACATTTTGTTGTTTTTTTTGGTTGGACACTGTGCACTTTTAAATGATTGCATATTGTTGCTGTATAGCTTGTTACTTAAGGTTTATGAAAATTATCATAAACTTGTGTTGCAAGAAAATGATGCAGTTTATGTATGTAACTTTATTTTGTGTTTATGTTGGCTACATTTGGATATTTAGTTATCATTTGTACATTATAAATCACAGTAGTAGACACTTTATTTGTTGAAGACATCTTACTATCCTGTGTTTGTATATTGTCTCATTTATCAAGTCACATAGTTTTAGTTTGCTTTTGTTAAAAAAAATTGCAGAAAGTTTTATTTCTGTTTTTCAAAATTCTCAGTGAACATTTTTCTTGTTATACATGAAAAACTGCAGTTCATAATAAAATGCAAGTTGGAGAATTTTGAAAACATTTACAGAATGAAGTTTATTCGATAGTTAATGCATGCTTTTTATAACCAAGGTTTTGTAAAAATTGAGAAACAAGTGAGTAGAAAGTAATCCTTTTGGGAATTACATGTATGCTTCCATGCATAAATTCTTTGTACCCTATTTAATATGAAAACTGTACTATTTTTTAGTTTGATTGCCTGAGAATTTTGCTTACACCGTGTGTTTACTTGTGTCTGCCAGGCACTAGTTTAAAGTTTAATTTAAACATACATTTATAGTCTTGCCAAACTATAAAGATGCTTTTATGCATTGTAGACAACCTTGTAAATGAAAAATATGTATTTATCATTGTACGTAATGCATGTTTTAGTTTTTTAAAATACATATATAGACAGCAGTATTACTTTTTTTCCATTTACAAATGACTATGTGATTAACATACATAGATATGTAATTTTTACAGTGTTGACATACCGTAGTTGGTTTGAAAAAAATGTTTTTCTGTCCAAGTTTTGCGAGCCAAAATTAGATTGTTAAAGTATTCTTAAATTGTGCCTTGATTGATATTCATTTTCCAAAGTATATTTTAAACAAGGTTGTGAATTACACTTGTGTTCTTATTTTGAATGTAAGTTTACACCATTGTTAGGTACAGCTGGGGTTATGCTTGTTTTATGGATTTTTTTTTCTATATTACATGCATTTTAATAAATGTTTTAATATTTGTTTGAGTCTAAGACATTTAAACTATAATATGTAAGCCAATAATTACATAAATTGATGAAATTTTTTTTTTCCTTTGATATGTTAATGGACACATTATTTTTATCCAGAAGAGAAATTCATATCATCAAAATCAGATGACCTAATTGCTATCTGTTTCTATAGTCCATAGTATGATTATATAAATGGTTGCCTGTCATTTAGATTCATTTAATGAATTCCAAATTGCAGTCTCCTGAAATAAGATAAAAGTGATCTACAATAAATAAAAAGCATGTGGCTTAGACAATCTTTTTTTTTTACTTGTAGGCAGTCATTTCTCTCTCAAAATTGTAATTTAAAATCAATTGGAGGGTTTGCTGTTATAAAATATAATTTAAGGTTTTTGATTTAAGATCACGACATATAAATTGTTGAAAAAAAATTCAAAAACGTTCAATCCAAATTAAGAAACAAAGAGAAAGAGAATGTTTTATGTGTCAGTAATACAGCTTATATATATTAGACTGCTAGGATGTATTGGAGAAAAATAACTGTGCATGATACTCTGGTGACCGTCATGGCTGATTCGTCCCTCATTTAATTATTGCTAGAATATACATTATGATATCTGTGATACGTACAACACTGCTGCTAAGATATTTTTGTCACTTTATTTTTTTATATTAAAATTTGTTAATATCTTTTTTGTCATTGAAAATGACATGTGAATGAAATTAAAAGAATTCTATAAAAAATCTTTTTTTTTTATTTTTTTTTTTGAAAACCAAGTTGTTCCCCTTTAAATCTGCTTGCAATTGCAAAACATATTACACCTTTAGGTTGTGCTCTCTTTATATGACATGCATCTCTATAAAGACAAGCATATCTAAGAGGGTGAAGCACAACTTAAGTGTAATATTTAGAGGTTAAAGTACGTCTTTAAGAAAAATGGTAGCATTGGCTCACTTTGATGAAAAGTCGTCGACATGGAGAGAGTTTGGTTTTTCCACTTCTTGAAAAAAAAAACCCACACACAAACATAATTTAGGTAGGATTCTTCTCTGCTTCTGACTAGATGAAATACTCAATGTATATTTGCTTATATCTCTTATATTTTTAGATATGAGATTTAAAAGATAATATTTTTCTTTTCTCAACACAGTTGTACAACTTTAAGTAGATTAATAGTAAACTGACTTTAAAATCTAGCAGGAACTTCATTTTTGGCAGAATGGTGGTGTATAAAAATATCTTCTTTTTTGATTCTCAAAATTATTGTAGAACAACAAATTTAGTCATAATTTTTACACAATCAGACTTGAAGAATTTTTCAAATGTTAGTTAAATTAATGATAGGGACTAAAATTTTAATATGTATCAAATAAATATGATTTTCCAAACAAACTACAATTATATTAGCTTTTAGAAGCTTCCAATCTAAGTATAGATATGAGCCGAAAATCCATAGAAAGTGTTTTCGCTCTCTTACTAAACAGTCAAAACTTTTTGTTTTTGTATCTCTTTATGAATTCTTTACCATATGTGAAAATTAGAAAATTTTAAATATAGGACACATATAAAATAACTAATATATCCTAAAAATTTAAGAAAAATAGAGAAAATTTGGATTAGCCAAAATCCATTTTTGTTTAACTATTTGTGTTAATTTGGTAATAACATCTTATAGACCTTTAATTCTGGGTATATGGTAACATCTTTTTATGCAAAAAGAAAAACATTTAATCTTCTTAAAAAGAGGACCGTATTGCATGATTGGATTTAAATGGATCGAAGCAGTATTTTTTTTTATTCTACATGTCCAAGGGAAAAGCAATGACCTTGACTCTAATATAAAATGGCCAAAACTAATCTAATTGATACCAACACTTAGTGATGTTGTCTTCTTGATTCTGTGAAAATTTCAATAATTTTTAAATACAAGAAATACAGTTTTGTATGAGAAGAATCCTACCTTAAGGCTCATTGTTCTACAAAGTCACTATGGCCTTGCTATTCTTCAGCAGCATATTACCCCCTTATTTCTCTATAAAACTTTTCTTTCTATATAAACTGTGCTTATATTTTGCTTGCCTTTTTTTGACACATCCTACCCTGAGGGGTAATCACATGCAAAAAGTGCACGAGTTTAGAAAAAAATAAACTACAGATGAGGCTTTTATAATATTTTTTAATACCTTAAAAAATCTTCATTGTCAATGTATCAACAGTGGTAATCAAATGGATTGCAGCACATGATTTTATAAATACAAGAACTTTATCAATGCAAATCAACAAATGTACAGCAGCAGATTCAGAATTTGAGATGGGAGAAGGTAAACAAAATAATTAAATTACGGATTGTGTCAGTTGTAAGTCTATAAATACATTTTTTTCTGTTACGAACAATTTATCATTCCTTTAGTATTACACAGTGCATAACAACAGAAGAGGTAAGCTGCCTGGGACACTAGACACAGAAGCATTTGCACTGGGAGTATAATAAGTATGGTTCTCCCTTATACAACATGGAACACAAAATAGCACTTGAACTGTCACATAGTGAAATACATTTAGACATCATTTTCTACAGCAGTTAAACTGATCTGAAGCTAATACCATGATTTACAACCTCATTCAGACAAGGAAAATTCAGCATCACAGAGAGAATAATCTCCCTCAATAAGTTAAGTTTTTATGAGTATTTGGACAAATCTAACTCGCTAGATTCTGATCTGACTAGAGTTTTCTTGATCTTCTTTTGTTCGGCTTGTCTTCGTAGAGCATTATTAAGTCCCGTGGCTCCCCACATCCACAACCATTCAGGAATCCAGTTAGCAAACCAAGCCTAATCATAAAAACAGGAGGCAGTTCAGACAGCGAGCAAAAAATATACAACTGAATAAATGCATTCAAGAAAAAAAATTAACCTCGGTACTATGTAGCAACACTTTGTCAGATAAATGAACAGCAGACAGAAACAATTTTGAATTAGATGAATTCACAAAATTGTCCCTTGAAGCTTTATGACATTGAGTGTACCACAGGAGTCCAAGTTTTTTATCGTTAAAAAAAAATTAAAAAAAAAAAAAATTCCCACCCACTAAAAAAAAATTTTTTTCAATATTTTATTTTTGTGACAACTTTGGACTCCTATGAGTGTAAAGTATATGAAATTTATAAATATGCTTGGTTGAATGCTACTTGTACTCTCTAGAATTCCCCTTGACTCTTGTTTGTTTACCTGCACTGTGTGTGGCCAGTATCCCGATGTACGAGTTGTGTAGCCCAGGGTGGCCACAGCGTTTTGGGCGTACTGTTCAGCTGAGGGGATCAGCAGGCTGGGATTAGATAAGGTCTGACTGAAGCGGGTCATTCTGGTTGCTACATAGAATGGCATCAGAGACTGCACTATTATTCCTGTCTTCCTGTATTCATAATTAAGTGCCCTGGCAAAGTAGTCGAGGAAACTCTGCAATGCAATGAACTTTTTCTGTGACACAGTGTTAAATATCAAAGACTTTCAAAATGATAGTAGCCAGACAAAATATTATGACTCAGGCTGTCAGTATAGATCCTACAACAGTATACTACACATCTACAATAGTTTAATGGGTACTTATTTGGGACAACTACTTGTCCACGCTTTAATATTGCTTACCTTTGTAGCAGCATACACTGTCATCTGAGGAGTGATCTGTGAGCACGCCCCCGAGGACACCATCACTACCGCCCCCTTACCTCTGTAATCAAACACAAATTATAAGGGATTATGCTTATTTCTAACTAAAATTTACCTTTACATCAAGAAAAAAATTATATTTCATTTGTTACATTACCTTTCAACCATCTGAGGCATTATCATATGTGTCATCTGAAATATTAGGAGGATAACTATAAAGTGAAACGATATAATGATATTGAAAACATTTCAGACTTGTTTTCATACAAGTAGACAACATCTATTACATGTAGAACTACAAATAAAAACATAAGAATCTTGTTTATACAGGAAACACAAACTGTGATCAGGTGCTCTGTAGATTCAGTATACATGTAACTGACCATTGTTGCTGCTGCCACATTGACATTGATAAGCTGCCACAATCTCTCCTCAGGGACGTCTAGGAAATACTGAGGGTAGTCATACATCACTCCTACATTGTTCACTAATTTAAAAATATACATGTACATATAAATAAGAAAAAAAAGAACAAATATTTCACATCAATTAATCTCTTATACATGTATCACTCAAGAAAACAATCAGTGACACAATTAAATTTTATGATGAAAATGTAACACACTTTATCTAATAAATAAATGTGTTAATGTGTGAACTTGTGTACAAACCTAAAATACCAATTTCTTTGTCTTTAATCTTATCCCATATAATTGGATATGCATCTTTTCCTGTGTTAAAATCAACAGCAATAGTGCAAGTCTCAACCTTAAAATCTTTTTCTGTAAAGGAAAAAAAAATTATCTAGAGTTTAAACATGTAGCTTTGTCTTGCCCATCAGAGAGATGCAGTAAATGGAATAAAGTATGTATTGTCTGACAAACATGCAACAGGTAAAGTGTGAGTTACTACAAATTCTAGAATTATTTCTTAAATCTCTTCAACAGTATTTTATGAATTTGAAATGAATTTTTGAATACAACACACTGTATTGTAAATCAGTCATTTTTCTTATGGTACATGTATGTGGATTTATTTATATTTGAATGCAATAACATTTGAATCCTTTATAATATTGAACAGGGATGTGAATAAAAATTGTTCTTGACAACAGCCTATTTTGTCTTATTCATAAAGAGAGATAACTCAAGGACATGTTGAAACTCATGAAAAATGATAACTATTTTTCAAATTTTCAACAGCCTGATAATATACCAAATTTAATGAATATCATTTAATCTTATTTTGAAAATGCTTACAAGTTAGAATAAATATATATAATGTGTGTACCAAAAATTGTAATATCATCAATTCAAGTGATTTTCAATAGGATTATATAGGAAATTCCATCTTCTGGTATCTTGCACAAATGCCTGGTAATGTACCCTAATTTTTTGCAAGCAAGCTTGTCAAAGTAGCAGTAAATCAATAACAAATTCCTGGAAAAAGTTATATATAATTGAGGAATGTGTTGTCTGACCTTAAATCACATGCAAAGTCAGGGTTGTCTTTAAAACATGGGGGTCAGGGAATTTCCTCCCATATAATGATGTTATCCAAAGGTTACTGTATTATTCTCCCTTAACCCCCTATTAGAGGAGGAACCCCATACCCTCTTCTATATGTAAAGGTCCTTCCCTTTTCAGTTCTAAGGGACAACCCTGCCTGGTACATTGAAATTAAATATTCTGTTTTTTGTCAGCATCCAAGATAAAGGCATTTATTAAACTTGTTTAAATTGAACAAATCTAAATTTAAAGATGTTGAATACACACCAATTTCTTTTGCAGTCCTAAATAAGCGATTCTCTCCCCTGCTGATCAGTATAACATTTACGCCACGCTTTGCTAGTTCCCTGGCATAAGCCTTTCCAATTCCTTCACTGCTTCCTGTAACAACTGTTCCACAAATAAAATCATTTTTTGTATCTTTAGCGTGAATAGATTCTATGATAATTAGTTTGTTTTTTTTTTAACGATAACATAAAACATTAAGGCCCCCTTTTCTAAAAAGAGAGTATACACATAAATTATGTGGGCGTTGCCCTGGACCCAATGGGGGCCCCCTCTCTTTATTTTAACAAAGGCGGCCCCCATACCCCCGGCCCATTATGTTTTCAGATATATCCCTGCATAATATATCAATATCATCTAATCGCTCAAAGTACAATTTTGTCCATAGAAAGCTGTGAACAGTGGTGAAAGGATATTAAAATAAAGCACAAGTTTAGTCTGCATAGATCAACTTCAAAGCATGACAAATTACCACTGAGTAGAAAATGATTCAATATGTAGGATCATGCACTTATGTATAAAAAATCTAAAGGCTAGCTATTGACAAATAAGCTGATAAAACGAGGATATCAACTCTTGTTCAGTCATTATATTGCAAATTCTGTAGTAAATACAATCACTGTCTTTATTGGCAGATATAATCTATTGTTAAACTGAATACTGACTGACATTTTTCATACATTTTGTGGCTTTTTTCCCACTAAAATAAATAGTCTACAGAATTTTCCGTTTTCCTGATCTGATCAAGGAGCGTACAGCATGACTTGTTTACAGGGGATGCTTTCTCTTCCATGGCACCCGATCCACCTCTGATATATAAGCCGTCCTTGTTTGCATTGCTCTAATTTTTTATTATTGTTTCTATGGCTTCTGAGCTTGATTACTGTTCGTTATCTTCATATATTTCATCCGCAAAACTGTTTTAGATGATCAGATCATGCAGATGATTGCGTCAGTTACATGTAACTTTCAAAAGGAAACGAATTTCGTTAGATTGTATGATATTTGGAAAACACTTGGGAAAAATACAATTTTTATCAAATGAAAATGGAACAGAATATTTTCATTATTTTGCATATAAGAACAAGTTTAAACCCACCTGCCCATTTGCCGAAGTTTCTTCTTAAGTCAACAAGGCTTGAGAGTTTGGTTAACACGTGATCATTTCCAGATTTCAGTATGCAATAAACAACTTTTAATGCTTGTCTCGATGCATACAACGCGCCAAGCACCGCCAATGCATCTCTGTAGTAAGAACATAATTTTGAAACTTCCCTTAGCAAAAAATCGAAACTATCAATTGCGGCCATTTGTTGTTTCCTGACACAGGAGATTTCCATTAAAAACTAACGTTCAAGTCGATAAAGATTTAATTTTCCGGAATACATAGTCAAAATAATGCAAACGGATTCTGGGGCTCGTTTCTCAAAAAGGCCTACGACCAGGCGTAAGCTTAGTCCGGACTAAATCAGTGACTAAACCCGGAAGTCGGACTAAGTTGCGTTTCACAAAAAGGCGGAGACTTAGTCGAGACTAAATTTTGGTTTAAATCTAGGCCTGCTCATGAGTAGGCGTAAGTTCTTAGTCTGTTCACAACTTGGGAAAAAGGCAAGTGTTTTAATCATAAAGAGTTAAAAAAAAAATGATTATTTTATACGTATGCGATTTAATACCTATTCATATACATGCACATAATTATATGATATGCGAAAAAAATCATGAAAATTAATAAACAACATATAATATTACAGTATGTAGAAAGGTAGTAAAATCCATCGAGGATGCAGGTGGGATGAACTAGAAATTTGTAATTAAGAACTTTGAATTCTTGTTGGGTAGGAATTTAAGAAGTGCCAGATTTTATTTTTTAAAAATGTATGCACGCGTTGTGGGGGGTGGTGCAACCCTCCCGTTTTTTTTTTATTGCAATATTGCGTTTTCTGTTTTAAAAAGGTGTTGTAACAGGAAAGGAGAAAATGTATGGCTGGACCGGGAATCGAACCCGGAACCCCTGCATCTCTAGTCAGGTGCTCTACCGACTGAGCTATCCAGGCCGATATCCACGGCCCTAACCATTACATTCCTCCCTCCTTAAAGGTCTTTGGCCCTCCAAAGACCCCAACCCAGGCTCATCCCTGGAAGACCCCTCGCCTGTCAATTTCAGGGCATGGCACGGCACCAAATCTGTAACAGGAAAGGAGAAAATGTATGGCTGGACCGGGAATCGAACCCGGGACCCCTGCATCTCTAGTCAGGTGCTCTACCGACTGAAGTCGAGCTATCCAGACCGATATCCACGGCCCTAACCATTACATTCCTCCCTCCTTAAAGGTCTTTGGCCCTCCAAAGACCCCAACCCAGGCTCATCCCTGGCAGGTCTTTCACCTGTCAATTCCAGGGCATGGCACGGCACCAAATCTATAACAGGAAAGGAGAAAATGTATGGCTGGACCGGGATTCGAACCCGGGACCCCTGCATCTCTAGTCAGGTGCTCTACCGACTGGGCTATCCAGGCCGATATCCATGGCCCTAACCATTACAGTGTATTATTTATGGGCTGATGCCCACATTCAGCATTTCTCTTCTCGGCTGAATATTTTGGTCACTCAATTACTTACCCTCCCCCATCATCATTCACTTTTTAAAAACGATGCCAGGTCCCGGATATTTTTTTTTTGTTTTAAAATGGATAATGTTTAAATAAATCCTCAAACAATATTCACTTTTAAAGATATATTTTAGATAATGAGAAATATTCGGTAACTATGCCGTGCGATCAACCAAGTCATTGCTTCTTTAATTTTCCCCTTCAATTGCATGTATTTAAATATAATATTAATAAAACATAAAAATTTGAATTTGTAAAATGTTCGAGTATTATACTTGAAGTATTCTGTTCATAAGACTGTTCACTCATTGTCGAGAGATGAGAAGTGTAGATCAAGTTCAAGTTCAAGTTCATTTATTCACTCAAAACCATTTGAAATACATGGTACATGAGGACAATGAAAAATATTTACAGCATACTGTATATATATTCAGATGGGTCAATCGTTTTTTCTTAATGGCTTGCAAAAGCTTAATACATAGTTTTAAATCGAATTCTTGTGAACCATATTACAGGCAATAAATCTAGTGATTTTTATAAATTTCTGAAATATTTCCATTAAAATTTAAAATGCGTGTGTTATAATGCAAATGATGTATATACATATGTATTTCTACATGGCCTATGTAAATTATCATAACGATATCAATGTAAAACTGTATGTCCAAAATGTAATACATATATCATAAATGCAGGTACATGTATCACCTTGATTGCCAATATATGTCTAATTCATATTGAATAAATTGATTGAACCAAAGCAAACTTTGATGGAGATGTATTTAATTAAGTTCTTAAACAGGGGAGTATATGCTGACTTCAAAGCACTAAATATTTTCATAAGTAATGACGCCATATGTACGTAATGACGTCACAAACATGACGTAAATTTCAGTTTTTTAATGAATTTTACAGAAAAATGTTCATATTTCGTCGATATTTTGAGTAAAAGTCACCAAGCGCATGTGTGTTCAGGATCAATATTTTGATATAATGTGTAGAATGATAATATCAATGAAATATGTCAATATTGTTCCTGAACAAACTTGCGCTCTATAAATTTTAAAGCTAAAATTGTTGAAATTTTGTCCATTTTGTCCTCTTTCTGAAAAAAGGTATAAAATCGGACTAGTTTGTGACGTCATAAAAACAAAAATTGTGAATACACTGCTTTGACACTATAATATTTTCTGTTAATTTATATTTCTCATACAATTGATTGAATTCAGCACATTTCAGGAAGTTTTCAAAATTTGACTTTTGTGGGGGCAAATATATGCAATATATCGCATATAGTTCTTAGAAATTCGTTCGGACAAATTAGATATTCGTTCGGACGAATTAGAAATTTGTTCGGACAAATAAGTTATTTGTTCGGACAAATTAGAAATTCGTTCGGACGAATTAGTTATTTGTTCGGACGAATTAAATATTCGTTCGGACAAATTAGACATTCGTTCGGACAAATTAGAAATTTGTTCGGACAAATAAGTTATTTGTTCGGACGAATTAGATATTTGTTCGGACGAATTAGATATTCGTTCGGACAAATTAGAAATTTGTTCGAACAAATAAGTTATTTGTTCGGACAAATTAGATATTTGTTCGGACAAATAAGAAATTCACAAATTAGTTATTTGTACGGACGAATTAGAAATTCGTTCTGTCGAATTAGTTATTTGTTCGGACAAATTAGAGAAAATGTGAGCAACTGTCAGGACACCGCGATTTATGTACGATTTGTACCAAGACGTTTCATTTTATTTTGATTCTTTGCAAAATAACTTTAATGAGCAACATTATCAATAAAAATTTTGAAGATAAGTCGTTTTAATGTTGATCTCTTTCTTATAATTTTTATGTACATATTAACTACCCAGCATTTATTAATCATGACATGTAAATGATTTTTGAAATACATTTCTGATACATACCGGTATGTGGCTGAAATATTTCCGATTCGGCGTAAAACATTCAATGAAACAATCTGGTACATAAAGGGGAATTATAAAAAACCAACCCCTTTTATGAGGAAAATACATCATGAATGAATGAATGTCAAAATATTTTCAAGTAACAACCCCCCCACCCCCCCACCCCCTCCTCTATTTAAAAATGATTGATTGTCTTAATCATTGAGAAGCTTAACACTGCATTAAATTATGATGTGTTTTTAAATTTTACTGCACTTTCTAGGACGGTACATGTATTCATCTATTTTTTATCCTTTTCCCGGAAAGGGGAGTGTGTTTAATTTGGTCAATATTATACCTGCATGTTTTAATTCATGCGCTTTTCTGATATTTAAATATAAAATAAAATTTATATAGATACTTAATGATAGTTTTTAACGATCTTAGAAAGAATCCATTGGAGATGGACTTATGAGATTCCCTCTTTTTGTTCTTTATCACAAAATACTTAAATGTGGGAACAGCGGTATAGAAGCAAAACTACAAACGGCCTAGTTAGTAAGCCCCACCTTAAAAAAATTAAGACCCATCGAATAAAAGGCTCGATATTTTGAGTCCGAAGTCTATTTAATATAATACAATACAGCCACGTAGCAGCTTTTTTGAAAGTGGGGGGGGGGGCTGAGAAAAAAAAATACTTACCTGAAAAGTTGACAAGCAAAAAACAAAAAACAAAAAAAAGGACACAGGCAAAGTTGCCCAAAGTTGACAGTCCTATTTCGGGGGGGGGGGGGGGGGGGCTTACTTTTTCAATGCCAATTTTTTCCCGTACCAATTGCCTGCAGTATGAATAAAACCTTGAGGAGTGGATCTCATCTTTTCAAAGAAGCGGTATCTGACCACTGGCACCCCAGTGTTACATGTACCAATTTAACACCACCAGCAATAGTTGGTCTGGTAGAACTAGATGATGTTTATTTATGACAAATCTTATGAGTGTGTCAGGGATGGGAGTGAAAAGATGTTTGATAAGAAGTAACTGACCCTTTGAATTTACTAGTGGGGTCTCAGATAATATACTTTCAGAATGGCAGACTTTAGGCCCATAATATATACCGGTATAGAACCATTATTTCCGAATATTTACAATCAACATACCCGACTTTAATGGCACATGTCTAGTTGCAACGTGTGTATGTCATGGTCCAAAGAGCTATTTATGTACATTTGTATTAAAAAGGGATGAATCCTTCTGATTAGACAAACTGTATATCTCTCTTTACAAGATAATTTGTGCAAACATCTAATTTGTCCGAACAAATATCTAATCCGTCCGAACAAATTTCTAATTCGTCCGAACAAATATTTTATTCGTCCGAACAAATAACTTATTTGTCCGAACAAATTTTTAATTCGTCCGAACGAATTTTAGTTTGTCCGAACGAATATCTAATTCGTCCGAACAAATAACTTATTTGTCCGAACAATTTTCTAATTCGTCCGAACGAATATCTAATTCATCCGAACGAATTTCTAATTCGTCCGAACAAATAACTAATTCGTCCGAACGAATATCTAATTCGTCCGAACAAATAACTAATTCGTCCGAACGAATAACTTAATTCGTCCGAACGAATATCTAATTCGTCCGAACGAATTTCTAATTTGTCCGAACAAATAAAAATATTTTTTTTACCTGGCCCTCCAGCGGCGCCGTAATTTTAGGCCCCCATTCAGAAAATGTTTTACATGTATATTTACACGTACAATGTATATAAAATCGTCGCTTACTGTGTCAAAATTGTCAGTTT